CCTCAGCAGCAAATTGGTTATTACACGGATTCAACACCTAAAAAGTGGACCATACAGGAGTACAACATTTATTGGGATGTCGGGAGGGTGGTAGGAGCGACGGGAACCGGCGTATATACAACCACAACGCAGGGAAGATGTGGCAACGTTGGAGGTATGGACACGCTTGAGCTCATTACTTGGCAGGGGGGAGGGGCGATGGGCCAATAATATATGTAACTAACACTCATACCCCAAATACCGCTAAAATAGAAAAAAATAAAATTAAAAATAAACAAATGGGCCGGGCAAGGTGGCTCAAGCCCTGCTAATCCTAGCACTCTGGAGGCCGAGGCGGGCGGAGGTTGCCTCCAGCGTCAGGGAGCTTCGAAACCGCCCTGAGCAAGGAGCAAGGACCCGTCTTACTATTAAATTAGAAAGAAATTAATTGGGCCAACTATTATTACTACTACTACTATATAAAATTAGCTGAGGGCATGGTGGGCGCATGCTTGTAAGTCCCAGCTTACTCGGGGGAGGCTGGAGGCCAGAGACCTCTTGAGCCCAGGAGTTTGAGGTTGCTGCTGAGCCTAGGCCTGACGCCACGGCACTCACTCTAGCCGGGGCGAAGAAGCGAGGGCTTCTGGCTCAACATAAATAAATAAAATAAAACAAATGGTGGACGGACATGCAAGGTTTACAAGTGTCTTAAGGACAAAACCAAGGCTGCAGTAAGAGAAATTTTAGGACTTGGGGGCAGATGAGTACTGGTTGTCCACGGGCGATCTATTTGGTGGGCGAACGGCTCTCAGGAGGCTGTGCTAGCCTTGAGCAGATGGGGACGTGGATGTGGTTCGAGTGGTCGCAGGAAGTAGTTTGCACGGGGGTGGCCTTCCTTCCTCTTTTTCGCACCTGGTGGGGTTCGATTTACTCAGATTAAGGACGGGCCCTTTCTCCATTCCTTGCCTCTTAGGAGAGGAGACGAGAGAGAGAGAGAGTTTGTGTGTGGTGTGTGTGTGTGTGTGTACAAGACTCTTTCATGAAAAACCCAAGGGAGTGGCCGGGCACGGTGGCTTGTGATGTAATCCTAGCACTCTGGGAGGCTGGGAGGCGGGAGGGAATTGTTCAAGGTCAGGAGTTCGAAACCGCCTGAGCCAAGAGCGAGGACCCCGTCTCTACTATAAATAGAAGCAAATTAATTGCAATTAGAAATAATTAGAAAAAATTAGGCTGGGCATGGCAGGCACAGCCTGTAGTCCCAGCTACTCGGGGACCACTGAGGCAGGAGGAACACCTTCAGCCCAGGATTTGAGGTTGCTGTGAGCTAGCTTGACGCACGGCACTCCACTCGTAGCCGGGCAAGAAGTGGAGACTCTGTCTCAAAATAAATAAATAAATAAATAAAATAAAACAAATGGTGACGGAATGCAAGGTTTACAAGTGTCTTTAAGACAAAACAAGGTGCAGTAAAGAAATTTTAGACTTGGGGCAGAGAGACTGTTGTCACACGGGCGATCTATTTGGTGGGAACGGTCTCAGAGGCTGCAGCTTGAGCAGATGTGGACGTGGATGTGGTCAGTGGTCGCAGGAAGTAGTTGACGGTGGCCTTCCTTCCTCTTTTCGCACCTGGTGGTTTGATTACTCAGAGTAAGTGGGACGCCTTCTCATTCTTGCCTCTTAGAGAGAGAGAGAGAGAGTGTGTGTGTGTGTGTGTGTGTGTTGTGTGTGTCGTGTATGTACAAGCTCTTCAGAAAACCCAAGGCGGAGGGCCGGGCGCGGTGGCTCACGCCTGTAATCTAGCTCTCTGGGAGGGCAGGCGGAGAATCGCTTCAAGGTCAGGAGCTCAAAACCAGCCTGAGCAAGAGCGAGACCCCGTCTCTACTATAAATAGAAGCAAATTAATTGGCCAATTAGAAATATATAGAAAAAATTAGCCGGGCATGGCAGCGCATGCCTGTAGTCCCAGCTACTTGGGAGACTAAGGCAAGAGGAACAATTTAGCCCAGGAGTTTGAAGTTGCTGTGAGCTAGGCTGATGCCACGGCCCAGGCAACAGAATGAGACTCTGTCTCAAAAAAATATAAAATATAGGCCGGGCCATGGTGGCTTCACGCCTGTATCCTAGCACTCTGGAGGCCGAGGTGGGCGGATTGCTCGGAGGTCAGGAGTTCGAAACCAGCCTTGAGCAAGGAGCGAGACCCCATCTCTACTATAAATAGAAATTTATTGGCCAACTAATATATATATATATTATAATAATATATACATATATGTGTATATATATATATATATATCACACACAAAAAAAATTAGCCGGGTCATGGTGGCGCATGCTGTAGTCCCAGCTACTTGGGAGGCTGAGGCAGCCGGATTGCTTGAGCCCAGGATGATTGAGGTTTGCTGTGAGCTAGGCTAACGCCATGGCACTCACTCTAGCCAGGGCAACCAAAGCGAGACTCTGTCTCCAAAAAAATATATATATATATATAAAATATAAAATAAAATATTTGTAACTTGGGCAAAGTGGTGCATGTCTCTAGTCTCAGCTGCTCGGGAGGCTGAGGCAGGAGGATTGCTTCAGCCCAGGAGTTTGAGGTTGCTGTGAGCTAGGCTGACGCCACGGCACTCACTCTAGCCTGGACAACAAAGTGAGACTCTGTCTCAAAAAACAAACAAACAAAAAAAAACAAATAAACAAACAAAAAATATTTGTTTTCATCCAGAAGGCCAACCTGGGTGCAGAGCAGCAGTACTGACAACCAGGGCTCTGGCCGTAGTCTCTAATTTGGGCCACCTGGTTCCATGTTTGTCCCTTGTCCCACCCTGGGCCCGGGAATAGCTGGGCACACCCGACATCTCGAACCGGAAGACCTGGTTTGAGAAACCCCCTTCCTCTGACGCACGAGTGAAAAATCCTTACCTGCTCAGACTCTGGGGCGGGTTTCTGAACCGCGGCTGCACCTGGATGAAGGGCAGCCCCGAGACCCCGCCGGGCTGCCAGCGGTTCTTGGAGTGACCCACACAGAGAGGCCCATGTCCAAAGGGTGGGTCGTTGATTTCTGGCAAATGTTAAATCAAAAATCGTTGCCACGCTGGGAGGGGGGAGGCATGGCAGATTCGCCTATAAAGGTGGAGAAATGAAGAGTTGGCATTGTTTGGAAACCCTGCAGGGATTTGGGGGGTGGGGGGTGGGGGGTGAGGGGCGGTCTTAGGGCCCCAACTGTTATATTTGGTTCGGACCCACTCTGCTGGCAAGACCCGCTCGGCTCCCTGCTGACCTCTCTCTTTGCCCCTGTCCTTCTGTGAACTGGACTCTGTTGAGCGGCCCGGGATGGGGAAAGGACTGTGTCACGTTCTGGGAGAAATATAGAGAAATAAAAGTCTTCTCCTCCAGCAGTTATAATTGTTTATCTTTCCTCATTCCAAAATGGATTTGAGGCTCTTAACACGCTTTGTACGACACATAAGATGGAAGCCGGAGTGAATGGGGAACTGAGGGCGGGAACAAAGAGAAGAGAGATTTATCTGCAGGTCAGGCTATCATGTTTCCCCGAAAATAAGACAGGGTCTTCTACTTATTTTTCCTCAAGAAGACGCCCTAGGGCTTATTTTCAGGGGATGTGTTATTTTTTTTTTAAGTGCGGTACAACCATCTACATTGATTCAAATAGAGTGAGGTCGTCTTCTTCTGGAACATCATCCTCACTCTCCAAACCCAGAATCCCATCCTGAATGTCTTGCGACTCTGTTTCCTTTAGAACCATCAGCCCCAGTCTCTCCTGTGGAGCCACAGAGCTGTCACGGGGCGGATGAGAAGGGCTGCTCGTCTTCTTTCCTGTTCATCGACGACACGCACGGGATGTGCAGACGCGCTGCGCAGCCACGCCCGTCGCTAGGGCTCATTTTCGGAGTGGGGCTTCTGTTGTGCACATGCTTAGAAATCCTGCTAGGGTTTAGCTTATGGGTAGGTCTTATTTTCCGGGAAATGTGGTACTGTGTACAACATGTAAGATGGAAGCCGGAGTGAATGGGGAACTGAGGGCAGGAACAAAGAGAAGAGGGATTTGTCTGCAGGTCAGGCTAGTACATGCCACTGCGTCCTGGCCTGTATACTTTGTTAGATGTGAGCCTCAGTTTGTCTGTGAGCTTCCTGGCAGGCAGCAGGAGGAAGGGAGTATGATCTGCGGGTAAGGCTAGTACATGCCTCAGCTTCCTGGCTTGTATATACTTTGTTACATGTGAGTCTCAGTTTGTCTCTGAGCTTCCTGGCAGGCAGCAGGAGGAAGGGAATATGATCTGCAGGTAAGGCTAGTACATGCCTCAGCATCCTGGCTTGTATATACTTTGTTACATGTGAGTCTCAGTCTGTCTCTGAGCTTCCTGGCAGGCAGCAGGAGGAAGGGAGTATGATCTGGAACACGTTGCATACTTATTAGGGAAAAAGAAGCCATTGCTAGGAAGGGAACCTATTCCCGGTACTGGGGGCTGGGAGAATTTTCTTACCTGGACCCTCGTGGACATTGTCAACTGCTGAAGCAGGTATGTTCTCAGTAACATCACGGCAGCACAGGTTTTACAAGGTACAGGTTGTGCCACAGGGTGTGTAATGAAATCAATTCATGGGTGGCCGTGGTATAATAAAAAATAAATATTTGGCCTTTTGTCCTGTTCCTGCGTTCTTGGCACAGAGCTTCTAGAACCTGTGGAATCTCCTGCATGATAAGGGTATCTTTTTTAATTTTTTTTGAGACAGAGTCTCACTTTGTTGCCCAGGCTAGAATGAGTGCCGTGGGGTCAGCCTAGCCTATCCTTATGCCAGTACATGCTGTCTTGGCTACTGTGGCTTTCTGGTAAGTTTTTAAATCAAATAGCATAAGTCCTCCAACTTTGTGGAGTTTTTTTTTCCAAAATTGTTTTGGCTATTGTAAGTCCTTTGCATTTCCATGTAAATTGAGGTCACCATGTGTGTTTTTTTATCCTTTATTCTATTAACATATTGTGTTAGATTAATTGATTTTCAGAAGTTAAGCCAACCTTGCATTCCTGGGATAAATCCCACTTGGTCAGGGTGTGTAGTCCTTTTTATGTGTTGCTGGGTTTGGGTTGCTATTTGTTGAGGATTTTTGCGTATGTATTCACCAAAGATATTAGTCTATTGTTTTGTTTTCTTGTAATGTCTGTGTTTCAGATCAGGTTAGTTAATGCTAGCTTCATAGAATGAATCGGGAAGCCGTACCTTTTCCTCTATTTTCTCATCTATTTCTTTCTAAGGGGGATAATTTATTGCCTTTTAGGGAGTGACTGGAGCAGTCTTCTTTTCTCTTCTTAAGGCTCATGTTTTGCAGGGATGTCTTAGGATTAATGCCCGGCAGCTCACAATGTCATCGGCTGTGTTCCTAGTCCGTTTGCTGGCAGGTGTGGCTCACGGTGGAGCAGGTGCCCAGAGTCTCTTTACCTGGTCACATCTGGCACTCATCTGCGAGCAGTCCCCCGAGCTTCCCGGCAGGGACCGGGGGCTGGGTCTGCTCACCCGGAAGCTGGGATGCTTGGCTGAAAGCACTCTTCTCTCCCTCCTCTCTTTGGACAGAGTAGCCACGAACCAGAAGGTTCGCGAACAAGTGCGGCTGGAGCTGAGCTTTGTCAACTCGGACCTGCAGATGCTCAAGGAAGAGCTGGAGGGGCTGAACATCTCGGTGGGAGTCTATCAGAGCACAGAGTAAGTGGGAGCAGTGTGTCTTGCAGACACTGCTGAGCCTGAGGGCGTGCCTGCATCAGGGGCGGGACCCAGAGAGCCCAGGGGGGAGGTATGGACCGAGGGCAGGGCCAGCCCCCACTTTGGGAAGTGAGCGCATGATCCGGTGCGGGGCTGAGCAAGGTGCTATAGAGTTGAAGGGAGGAACCCGTGGGGTTTGTTGGGAGATACCTGGAGCGTTGGGCAAAAATGCATTTGTCTCACGCCTGTCATCCCAGCACTCTGGGAGGCCGAGGCGGGCGGATTGCTCAAGGTCAGGAGTTCAAAACCAGCCTGAGCAAGAGCGAGACCCCGTCTCTACTATAAATAGAAAGAAATTAATTGGCCAACTAATATATCTAGAAAAAAATTAGCCGGGCATGGTGGCGCATGCCTGTAGTCCCAGCTACTCGGGAGGCTGAGGCAGGAGGATTGCTTGAGCCCAGGAGTTGGAGGTTGCTGTGAGCTAGGCTGACGCCACAACACTCACTCTAGCCAGGGCAACAAAGTGAGACTCTGTCTCCAAAAAAAAAAAAAGAAAAAAGACCTGGCAGGAAATAAAAATTACACTAAAACAAATGGTGACAGTGGAAATAACCCAAGTGCCCATCAATTCATGAGTGGATTAATAAAATGTGGTCTATGTACACTGTGGAGCACTACTCAGCTTTAAGAAACAATGGTGGTCTAGCACCTCTAGTATTTTCCTGGCGAGAGCTGGAACCCATTCTACTAAGTGAAGTATCCCAAGAATGGAGAAACCAGCACCACTTGTACTCAGCAGCAAATTGGTATTAACGGATCAACACCTAAGTGGACATAGAGGAGTAACATTTATTGGGTGTCGGGAGGGTGGGAGGGGGGAGGAGGGGACGGGTATATACAACCACAACGAGGAAGATGTGCAACGTTTGGGGTATGGACACTGAAGCTCTTACTCGAGGGGGGAGGGGGGTATGGGCAACATATATGTAACCTTAACACTCATACCCCCGTAATATGCTAAAATAAAAAATAAAATAAAATAAAACAAATGGGCCGGGCGCGGTGGCTCAAGCCTGTAATCCTAGCACTCTGGGAGGCCGAGGCGGGCGGATTGCTTGAGGTCAGGAGTTCGAAACCAGCCTGAG